AAATCAGGCGAGGGCTTTTCTTTATCTATATTGCTTTTAAAAATTGTTAGTTAGGTTTAGGGAAGTGGGTAGGCGAGTCAGTTGGTGATTTTGAAAATACTATTGGTTGGGTTTAAGGAAGAAGAAGAGGGAGTCAGTCGATCGTCTGTCAGTCAGTCCTTCAGTCAGTCAAACAGTCAGCAGCCTCTGCTAGATTTACGCGAGAAGAGCAGGTGCAAATGACACTCGCGAGAGAAAGTTGAGATCTCAAAAATTTGAGAAAACAAAAACTGCAAAAGAGTGGCTCCTGGGGTATATTTGGCGGTCTCCAGAAATGTATTTAGTGGTACATTTTCAGAATGAGCCCAGGTTGTAATTAATGATTCAGTATCATTTTACACATGTTCTAATGAACTTACTATAGTAAAAGCATAAACAATCCCATTTATAACACAATGGAGATCAATGCTGAAAACACTAGTCAAGCTGCTCTTGGCTTGATTTGCTGGTCGATGTCTTGTGCATTGTCCTCTATCTGTTAAGTAGCAGCATTTACATTTTAAAAATCTGATTCATTTACAACAATTGATTTGAGTTGGCTTTTTTGTAGCTCCTCAATTAAACAATTAAACAAATGACTATGTTAAATTGGATATGATGATCTCCGTCAAAAGCATTTACTCCAATCAAATCCCCATCATTCTCTCTCTCATTTCAGATAGGATTGGGCGCCAAACCAAAGGTTACCATGGGCGAACTTTGCACCGCGGGTAATAGTAGTTGAATGGTTTTCTGCCGTTTATTATTCCCAGACATTTCTCCCATAGCCTGAATGGAAGTTCTAAAACAAAAACAAGCACACTTCTGCATTACAAAATAAGGTCAATATCTAGAAATGGCATATTAATGCATTTCTGATTCAATCAATCAACCAAATAATCAATCAATCAGTGAGTCAGTCAGTCAGTCACTCAGTCAGTCAGAGTCAGTCAGTCAGTCAGTCAGTCAGTCAGTCAGTCAGTCAGTCAGTCAGTCAGTCAGTCAGTCAGTCAATTAATCAATCAATAAACCAATCAATAAGAAAGGAAATTTACACCACAGACCTACAATGTGAAAACAATACTGACATACAATACTGACATTTCTTCTCATATTTTTCTTCTTCTGTCATTTGTTTACTAATTTTTATACCTTTCAACTCTCATCTCGTCTGCCCCTCATGTCTCATAACCGTGGAAAGCAGACAGACAGGTAGCAGCGCATAATTGTAGCACCCACACCCATATCGGTTTGGCCTTTACCCACGCACATACTGTACAGTTTGCGCATTTCTGCACACAAACAGGCTGTCTTTCGAAAAGGAGCAAAACCTGCATGAACAAACAGACACTTATGACTTATGCTTTGTGTTGATCTGACTGGAGAATAGCGTGGTAAAATACGCACATTTAGAAATATGCATCTGACTACGCATGCATGCTGAAAGACAGGTAGAGGGAGGCAGGAAAAGCGAAGCCTAAACACTCCTTAGGCTACTGTAAACAAAATACCTGTCCGTTGGTTCAAAGGATTCTAGCCTTTTGTACTCATTCACCTCTCAGTGACACACGCACGCACACACTTGCTGGAATTTGGCAGCTTTGTGGAACGTGCAACAGGCAGAAGAAGGGCGGTTCCAAACGTCTGCGCGCACACACCCCACAGGGTGAGTGAGAGGTTAACTCACCCTACGGCACCCAAATCATCTGCTAACCAAAACTATGCTGAGCGACGCATAACAAGTACGCTTGTGTTATTGTCAGTGCATTAAATCATTTGCATAAAGATGTTTGAACCAAACAAACGCCTGCAAATATACTCTTAACATATATGTGCAAACATGCAAATCACAACTAGGTTGGTTTGTAAAAACTGAAACATAGATTTGGCTATCTTGATGTAAACACACGACAGAATTTGAAAGAAATTTCACAGGCAAAAAAAAACACCAATTGTCTTTTGAGGCAGCTCACACAGAAGTCCATTTAAAAGCATGCTGATTCCGATTGCTGACACTGCAAATTTGCATTACTTGAACATAATTTGAGTTCAGATCACCATTTACTCCCTCTTTACTTGTTTCAAACCTTCATTACTTTCTTTCTTCTGTTAAACACTTAATACTCTGAAGAATGCTGAAAACCTGTTACCATCGACTTCCATAGTTTTTCCTATTATGGTAGTTAATGATTACAGGTTTTCCATTGAACAAAATGAAAATAAATAAATAAATAAATAATAAATAAATAAATAAATTAATTAATTAATTAATTAATTAAAACTATATATATATATATATATATATATATATATATATATATATATATATGATGAAGTCAGAATTATTAGCCCCCCTGTTTATTTTTCTTTTCTGCAATTTCTGTTTAACGGAGAGTTTTTTAACATATTTATAAACATAATAGTTTTAATAACTCATTTCCAATAACTGACTCATTTTATCTTTGCCATGATGACAGTAAATAATATTTTATAAGATATCTTTCAAGATACTTCTATACAGCTTAAAGTGACATTTAAAGGCTTAACTAGGTTAATTAGGTTAACTAGGCAGGTTAGGGTAATAATGCAAGTTATTGTATAGTGATTGTTTTTTCTGTAGACTATCAAATAATATATAGCTTAAAGGGGGTAATAATTTTGTCTTTAAAATGGCGTTTAAAAAATTAAAAACTGCTTTTTATTCTAGCTGAAATAGAACAAATAAGACTTTCTCCAGAAGAAAAAATATTATCAGACATACTGTGAAAATGTCCTTGCTCAGTTCCATTTGGGAAATATTTGAAAAAGAAATAAAAGTCAAAGAGAGGCTAACAATTCTCAATTCAACTGTATATATATATATATATATATATATATATATATATATATATATATATATATATATATATATATTAGAGCTGCACAATTAATGGAAAAAAGATCACGATCTCGATTCGACCCCCTAGACGATCTTAATCCAGCATTTCTACTATTCTGTCAATCATATTTTCAAGTTCAGGAGAGAAGAAAAGGCGGCCGCACAAGTCTTTTCATTGTTTCACACATGTTGCTCAGTGACATGGACAACTCCAAATGATGTTGAGTGAGTCACATACTGTATTTATAAGGTAAAATTCACCTAAAAATGTCATTTTTGTCTTCATAAAATGTTTTCGCAGGCGAGAAATCACTCGTGACGTGAGCTGCTGACCGTGAGCTGTTATCACAGAGAGGGCGCGTGTCGCGCGCTCTACTTAATGATAGACGCACGCGCGTCTACTTGAAGTGAATAGAAACTGCATGTGCTGTTAACAGATAATACTGTTGTAAATAATATTCAGTTTGTGGTACAAAGTGATCGTTTGAGAGCCGCGCGCGAAGTATGCACAAGCACTTAGCAGTCAAAATGTAATTGAAAGTGTGTTTAAAATAATCATATCGCAATTTAGAGTTCTGATTTCGACAAGCATTTGATATGTTATTTCTTTTATAACGAACAGAGTTGTGCATGAAAATAAATATTTACAATGTCAGTATAACTAATCTAGCCTTTAATGTTGAATATAATCTGATAATGACAAATTTTTACAGGCAAATATGTCAAACATAATAATTCAACATCAGAATTAATATAAGTAGAATATAACTATTAAGAGAAACTAGTAGACCTACACATAATATTATTATTGATGTTTTGTCGTATGTTTGTTTTTACCATACCTTTATTTTACATCTACAGAATCGTGAGAAAATCGTGATCTTAATTTTAAGCCAAAAATTTGCGATTCTCATTTTAGCCAGAATCGTGCAGCTCTAATATATATATATATATATATATATATATATATATATATATATATATATATATATATATATATATATATATATATATATATATTACAGTTATGCAGTTGAATTTCGGTCATGAGATCGTAGCATTTAAAAGAAACTCTAGACGCATGCACTTGATCACTGTTACTCTGATGAAGGTAGCTCTCTGTCGAAATTTTTAAAGATTAGCCATATGAATAAAAGTTTTTTATTATTCTTTTCACATCTTTCGAGTGTCTGATTTTTCTGTTCATCTGATTCAGGACTGATTTTTGTTGGTCTATGTCCGAGTTTCTGAATGAATTATAACTAATAATCTATATTAATTTATCAATATATATATATATATATATATATATATATATATATATATATATATATATATATATATATATATATATATATACACATTATTTTTATTATAATTATTATTATTATTATTACTTAATTTGGGCTTTAATTTATTACAGCGAAGATAAAAAAAATGAATAAATGAATAAATAAATAAATAAATAAATAAATAAATAAATAACAACAGTTAAATGTTGTTGAAGCTATAATCGTACATGAATGAATGAATGAATGGTTTGTTCAATGTGCAAACAACAATCTAATTTTCCTAAAGCTTTTTGCTATCCTCATGATCTTGCCCCCAGGCCTATATTGGTCCTGCCTTCAGTGAACACATTCCTCTCTCCAAGCTCTGATAGCAAATGTCTCACATCCTCTATTATCATTAGAGTACAATTATCTCAGCACAGCGGGTACAGTGTGCCCTACATCTCAAAGCCACTGACATGCACCCACAGCGGCCAAGGCAGAGTGTGTTCTTATTTTAATTTCAGACCGTGACAAGATATATAATGACTGTCATACTCAGCGTGTCAGCGATCTGCCCGAATCTTCTCCAAATTTCTCTGAACAAACATACACAAACACACACACACACACACACACACACACACACACACACACACACACACACACACACACACACACACACACACACACACACACAAACACATCCCAAATTCCGCTAAATAAATGCACATTCCATTACCCGACACAGATCAGAGAGGAACAAAAGTTTTCTGAAGCAGGACAGAGATTGCAACAATGCTTGTTTTGTGTGTGTGTATGTGTTTAATTACCTGCGTCAGCACTGATGCAACTCTGCTGTATCAGTGCTTTGCTGTTGTCCCAAGTCTCCAGGAAGTGAGTTAACTGGTTCTTTACAGTCGTCATCTCCCCTCGAGAAAACTGCAGCAGAGCCAGAGTCTTCCTGAGAAGCCTCTGCTGCTGCACAGACTTGGATCTGATACAAACACAAACAAAAAAGGATTATTCAGTATGCACTCGTTAGAACTCGTTAGTATTTCTTTGCCGCACTTTATTTTAATGTACAGTTCATGTTATTAGCAAATCATTAACAAACTATTAACTAAGACTTTTAGCTCAATAAACTAATAATTAGCTGCTTATTAATATTAAGTAATGTAGCAGGTATTGAGAAGGATTAGGGATGTAAAATAAGATCATACTTCATAAGTGCTAATAAACAGTTCATATCTTATTTATATGCAGGTGATAAGAAGTAGCCAGTATTAAACAGTGTGAATTGCTTCTTAAAGTGTTAGACGTTTCTACACTACTTTAGAGCATTTTAGATCAGCCGACTCCATGTACTACATAAATCCAATGGGTCAGCTGTCTCACAATGCAACCTCAGTCTTAAGAAGGACGCAATACAAAACAGTTTTAAGAGAAATACATTTAAAGAGGAACCAAGAAGTAACTGTAAAAAAACAAGTGATTAGACAAGACAAACGTTAGGCAAAAAGATTTTTGAGTTTTGAAGAGAGAAGAAATTGAAAGAAATAAGATGAGATAATAAATGAATGTAACTATATAGTAATATTTAGAAGAAAAAAAAGGAGACTAAAATGGATGTAACTCAGATGAGAAAAGATGAGATGTAGGATGTGAAATCACTTCCATTTGATTGTAAACTATAAGATATAACGAATAAATGCACTCAAATTGACCCAGATATCAAAGTAATTCATGAGAATTAACTGAGATGATACATCCAAAAAATGATTTTGAGATATTGAGCTTTAAAGTGTTTGCATTCCATAGCAAACAGTATGTGTGTAACATTTTTTTTAAAGTCTTAAAATGTAAACAATTTATAAAAAAAAAATTAAAAATCCCATAATGTAAATAAGTTCTCATTTAATAAGAATATGTGAATATCTCAATTTTGACAAAAATGTAAGATAAAACCTTATAATTCTAACGCCCCATTCACACAGGGCTTCAGCGTCAATGATTGACAGAGGGTGTGTCTGAAGTTGGGGCTGACGCGATCATCATAGCAGCGTCAGCCAATGACATTAGTAAGCTATAGGCCACTGTCTGAGCTGATGTATTTGCATACAGCAATCTGATTGGCTGACGCTTCTGTCGGCCCTTGAAAAGTTGAGCAAGTTCCAACTTTTGCAGCAAGCAACGCCTCTGAAGTGACGCCGACGGATCCACAATGCAGTTCGGCAACGTCTTACCTCACCTATTCTAAGTAAATGGGAAGCGTTGAAGCTATGTTCAACAAGAAACATGTTTATCTAAGAAACATCTTTATCTCTAAAGCGCATGGCGCAAAAGCATTAAGGGCATGTCCGAATCCAATTTTGCAATTTTAAGGACCGAATAAACATGCCACACAGCGCCATGCATTTTAGAATTCTAAACATAGGTTTCTATCAGGGTACACACGCCAGTGCTGCAAGTTGGCAGCTGTTCACGGCCCCAGTCATGACTAAGGACACTGTTCATATTTCTGCCACGCCACAGAGAGCCATCTGATTAGTTTAATTTTAATAAGCATACGAATGTGTGCGTCTGATGTGCGTTACTTTCAACTGTCATACGATGTGTGACCAAGTGTGCCGCAAGCCTGCGTTTGAGTGAGGGTCTCGGCCGTTAGATCGCCCCCTGGGGGCTGGCTGCAGTACAAGTCATAAAGCCCGCCTCCTCCGTGTTAATGAAGGAGACTTGAGCCCAAATAAAAAAATTAATTACACTTGCAATAAAATGTCCCGAAAGATGGTTCTGGTCGATTAAGGCACTGGTTATTGTGCTGAAATAGGTGCAGATCCTCATTTTTGTAAACAGTTTGTTTTTAGCAGTAATTTAATGCTGGGCGTGTCATCGTGATTGACAGCTGTGATTGACAGTTTCTCAAAGCGCGGCGTCTGAGCTTCGGCAGAAGACTGAAGTGTTATTACTCGATTTCTGTGATATTTTACTATGACAAAATGAGTTCAGCAGTAAACTACAGTTTCTGACATACATGATCTGGTGGAACACTGTTTATTCGCTAAGGTCAGAGCTTTTTTCGGGCTTTATTAGTTTGCTAATACACGCCTAGCCACCCAGATAGCAAAATACACTGGGGCCAGTTCTTGCCTGCCGGAGACTTACCCCTCAGACTGACTACCTCTGCTGGACCTACTCCGGATGCCTGGACTCACTGCCCGATTCCAGCCTGAGTCAATTGAGCCAGATGCGGCGGCCGAGCGAGCAGGCGCTGCCGCATGCGAGCCGGAATCAGCCCGCGACGCCGCGACTAGGTTATGCGCTGATGCCCGGAGCTGGCGCGATTGAATCTTCATTATATAAAACCCTCACATTTGTTAACGTTATTACACCCATTTTTGTTGATATAACAACAAACGCATGCTACTATGTGAACGCAAAGTGTATCACTGAGTTTAACCTTTGAATAAAGATGCAAACAGCATAGCAATTATTTAAATAAAGGACAAAATAAATAACAATAAACCTGTATCGATTGCACAAGTATTAAATAATAATAATAATAAATACGAAAATGACAATAAAACTGCACAATAAAATAAACCCATTTAAGTACGGGGTATACAGGAGATCGTTAGCAGTAATTCTCTTTGTGTTTAAATAATAATCTCCACGTTGATCTCCTGTAGGGTTATTTGAACTTGCACGTCTCTGCATTTTAAGTTTTGGCATGTTATTAAGTGATCTACTGAATTTGCTGTTATAAATCATTATAAGGTTCTTGAAATCGAATCTTATATAACCTAATAGAGCTGTAAATGTTAGATATTATTTATTTACATCATTTACTGTTGGCGTTTTATTTGAACACTCCAGCTAACATTAAAATGAATGTAAATTCCTCGTTGCCAGATATAATGAAGGCATCGAATAAACCAAATGAAAACGGAGGCAAAAAAATTAAATAAATAAACAATTCAAGCGAAAATGAATAAACAATATACTAGTGATGTTACAGCAGATAGACGTTGTATTAATAGTGCAAAGTTTTTTTGCACAAATTGACAAATTGCAGGGTTGGGATGTGTAAATATCCTGTTGATATTTAGTAATCTTGCTGTATTTATCTTCTAAACGCACGATTGTTCCCGCATGGTAAATCGTTATGGTGTGTAGGCTATATTTTGGGTTCTGTTAATGGCTAATTAAAAATAAAAACCTTTCTAAAAATGTATGTGTTGTTTATATGTTATTGTTCATATTTTACAAGTGTTATTTCTACCCCTATGAAGATAACAAATACCAACAACAAATATAACAATAAGAGAATATATTATTTGTGCTCATATTCAGGCTAGAGTGTATAAAAGATCGTTTATTTCTGCAGTCCACCATGTATTGCTTTTATTAAAGTTTAACAGCTTACATCACACCGTTTTTAAACCGTATATTATTGTGTTTTTTTAAAGTAAGTGCTTCTATTTACATCAGTGAGCGTTTGTTATAGTGCAGACACCGGCAGTCGAGTGAGAAGTTCGGGGGGCGTGGTTGATTTTACATAAAGCGTTTGGTTGGAAGCTCGACTCCGCTCATTATCGCGGCTCCTCCTCTGGCTCCATCAGACAGTCCTTCTGCGCATGTCTGGCTCCAATTTCAGCAGTCTTTTGCGACAGTTTGTGCCCGTCAAGCAGGCGTTTTGCCCTCAAGGCGTTCAATGGCAAAAGGGGCTGTCGCGTCGTCCATATTTTTTACAGTCATTGTGTGTGACGCCCTTCAGAGTCAGTTGCATTGTGCCATGGTGCATTTGCTATTTATTTGCCAGACTTTGTGAGTGGAAAAACTGAATGGACAAACTGAATGCTTCACTAGCGAGAAAACAGTAAACAGACCATCTGCAGCGAGGATAAAGAATTAGCCTTCACCAATCAGCTTATTTACTTTCTTTTTACTTTTACTCTTCACTTTTCTTTACTTTTGCTAAAAAGCACTCCACTTAAGACATCCTTTAGCCTAAATATTTAATTTAGTTTGTTAAGCACAAAGATTTGTTTCAAAACTATTTCTAAATTCAGTTCTAATTTCCAGCAAATTTCTAACTAAACAATAATAACGAGTTATATCCAAACACACATCCTATTCTTATGCCCCATTGTGATGCATACATCTCCAAAACTTGACAGGTGGACAAATCTAAACTTGTTTTTATTAAAACAAATATGAATATGCATATAATATATAATCTTGCCAATAATAACAACATTATAATTAAAAATGCAAATTGTCATGAATAAACTGAGAAAAGCCCCTCGGACATAAAGAAGGCATGACGGTAGTGTTTTTTATAATTATGTAAAAAAAATAATAGCTTTTCTAACATTTTAATCCTTTATGTTTTTTTTTTTTTTCATATGTAAAGATATGTGTATTGCGGTAAATCATATGTGTATTAACCATTTGAACCTGCATAGGCACAAAACTAACGCTTTCCTGCACTGGACTTTAGACCAGCTTTTACTTAGTCGGTGACGCAGTCTATTTAAACACACCACCTTTTTAGACCGACACACCTATGAGTCCACAAAGTAGCGCAAATGGATTTGTTATTTAAACAGTGTAGCTTAAAACGTAAAAAACTAGGGTTGCGCTTGTCTGAAAATAGCAACAAATTGCGCCAAACACATCTTGAGTGTATGATATTGTCAAAATCACAAGCGATCTAATCCTTACAGATCGCTGGTAAACACAGATCACACATAACTACAAATCTGCCATTATATGGACTACAAGTTCCAGTCATGCACCATACACACTCACACCGGTTCCTGATCCTGACTGATTGCCCACACACACAGCCGGAGGATTGTCAAAGACTGATTACTAGGACTTTATATTCAGCCAAACATACACATCTGGGCTGAGTGTTGTTGTTATAGGGTCACTGTGAACATTACGACACATTTCCCCTGCCTTGCTATGACTTGTTTTTGACCCTCGACT